TGCTACGGAGCAACATCAGAGGCGGGATTACGTAGAGGGGTTCGGGGAAATGCTTGGCTTTTGATCTCCAGACAAGGGGACCAGGTACACGAGTACTGTTGGGCATGTACTCCCGTCCTGCATCCAGGTACCCCTCCAAGTGACCACAGGGTGAATACCTTGCGTACCTTACCTTATACTAGTGTGGCCGTAACACCAGCAAATTCGCCTGCATTATGAATGAGGTGTGATTATTGCAGATGAGGAAGATGTGTCTCCAATGGTCGTATCTAATCGCCACTGGGAAGGAGGCGTGTGTTTTCTGCTCTTTTATTTTCTATTTTTTTTATGATGATGAGAATATCGATCTGCTGATACATACGAAGACGTTCGTACATGTTACTCTGTACTTCCAGGTTCATACCTCACGGTCTGGGGGTGCAGATGACACCCACCCCACCAGTTGTATCTTCCGGTGTCGGGATTGGATGGAAGGTACTTTATTGCGGGGGTTTCCGCGCCACGATGTCGCATTCCCATAGGTGTGCACTTCGCACTTTATTGTGGCGGTGCAAAGCGTGTGTGGCACTCGCTCGAGGTTCGTCACATACCCGTGCGGCCTCAGCCTCGTCCAACATCGTCATTATCGCCTCCTCCAATTCCATTCTCCTACCCCTGCATCCACGGATACATATCATCTCCCCAATTTCCACGACACGACGAGAAAGCCAAACCCCGACAGGCAGACTCCAAGTCTCTGCACAGCACCATCTAGTCAAACATCACCATCGCTTCCAGAATCTTCCGACCCTCTTCACTCCATTTCCGTTCCGCTGTGCATGGTACAATCTTTCGTGATTGGTTCCCGCCTCTCTTTTGAAACGAAACGAAAGAAGCGAAAATTGCCTGCGTAGCTACTTTACCCATCGCTACTCGCATAATTAACCCTCCTGCCAGCGACGCGTTATCCCAGCCCTGTAAAATCACCAACTTTTGCCTCCTACCTTCGAGCGTCTCTTACACCGACCGAACCCGACTGTCCGTCTGAGATACGCACTTCCCACCATGTCGGAAGCATATGAACGAGAACGTCAGAACAACGCCCGTCTCGAAGAGCTATCCTCGAAAGTCTCGGCATTACGCGGCGTTACCATCGACATTTACGATAATGCTCGGTCCCAAGAAGTCATTGACAATACCGTACGTTGCCTGCCTCTTCTCCCTCCGTCTCCTGCTTCTCGAAGACATTTCTGCCCATTTCTCCTTGACCTTCAAATTCAAAGAGTCCCCTTATCATGCCTACGTCTTGTGGCACTTCCCTGGCTGACTGTTTGCTGGTCTTTCTCCATAGTCCGACACTTTCTCCGCCATGTCAACATCCCTCAAGGGCTCCGCAGGCCGACTAGGTCGTATGGCCGCGGCCGGCAACAAGGTTGCGATCCTCAAGCTCGCCGGTCTCATCATTGGACCTCTAATCCTGCTGTATTATCTCCTCAAGTTGTTCTTCTAAATGTGGGGGGGTTTTTTTTGGGCGTCGCAAGGTGACAGGAAACACTGGGCGCAGGAACTATCTGCGGAGCGCTCTATGCATAGAACGGACGTATCGATGATTCACTGGAGAGTTACGGTTCAAAGCTGCCGACTTCGACCAGCTTAGGGAGTATTGTGTACGTCACGGGCGGAGACTGGCCATTGGAGGCCCCTCGAAACGACGACTTGGAACATTGTTTGGTGACTTGGTGTGATGGAAAACAATGGCAGGCGCTGGCATGGCTACGGAGTTTGGGTGCAGCCCTTGTATTTACGATAGTATGCTGGGATATATCATCATTATCATCTCTCAAGTTTCTATGGCTTGCGCGACTGACTTCCTCTCTCACAAATGCCCCGACTAATGTTTTTTTGAAAACGACACCATCCACCATTTCCCCGCTTCTTTTTCCCTTTTGTTTGTGACACGCTAGACAATGAACCTTCCGATCTGTAGTCAACGTGGAAGAAGAAAAAAAGATACCTTTCTTGTGGTGTTCTCACACGCGAATCCTACTGCCAAACGTTGGAGAATAGATCGTCGTTACCAGCGAATGAACCGGTCGCCGGCTTAGCCGCGCTGTTGCCGCTGCTCGTCGTCGGACCAGTGCTGCTAGTCCACCCACCGAACTCCTCGTCAGCCGAAACCTTAGGCGCGGCGCTGAATCCACCCGACGCTCCAGGGACAATAGGCGTGTCCGCGAAAGACCCCGACCCGAGCGCCGCCGAGCCCCCCCAGCCGCCTACTCCGCTGCTACTGGCGGTTGTTGCAGACGACTTGGACGCCTGAGGAGCGTTTGTGGAGGATGATGCGTCGGGTGCGCCCCAGGCATTGGAGCCCCAGACGTCGGCCCCGGATAGGTTGGACGATGCGAGAGGGGTGGAAGTAGTGGAAGTAACGGCGGGTTGCGAAGGCTTCGGTGTGTCGGATGACAAGTTGAACACAGAGCCAGAAGAAGCCGTAGAAGAGGTGGCTTTGGGGGCCGAGACGGGCTGGGATGTCGGCGCTGAGAGGTCGAAGAGGTCACCCATCGACGAGGGCTGGGTTTGCTTGGCCGGCGGAGGTGCGACGGCAGCAGATGCCGGTGGAGGTGAAGTCGACCAAGCGAACCCCCCGAAGCTACTGTTAGAGACCTGCTTCTGGTGAGATGGGCCAGACGGGGCTGCAGGCTTGGAGTCGAAGAAGCTTCCTCCACTCAAGCCACCGAAGGCTGAGGATGCTGTCGAGGAGGCCTGCGGGGCGGGCCTGGTGCTGAGAGGCGGGCTTGAGAAACTGGCGAAAGGATCGGCAGCGGCGGGGGCGGGCTTCGGACTGGTAGTACTGGTAAAACTAAGACTACTGAAAGCATCCTGCACGCCTCCCAGGGAGGACTGCTGCTGGTGTCCGTTATTGGGCGAAGGCATAGATCCAAACGAGCCGGGGGCCTGCGTGCTTTGTGAAGGCTGAGCCTGGGGACGCGGCGCCGTGGCATAGAGCGAAAGGATGGACTGCTTCAAATCGGGGCGTGACGGGGCCGTTCCGACACCGCCAGCGTTCGAGGTGCTCGCCGGACGGGGTGGTGCAGCCGGTTCGCCGAAGAAGTCCAAACCCAGCAACGAATCCTTAGTGCTCGTCGTCTTGGGAGGTGCCGGTCCAGCCTTGGAGGCCACTTTGACGGACGAAGGACCTGCCGAATTCGATCTCTGAGGAAGATCGTCGCCGCCAATAAGATCTGCCTGTGATGCGGGAACCTTAGACGACGGGGCTGCCGACTGGCCAACAGAGGCTTTGCGCACTGACTCCCTCCTCTCGACGTTTTGCTTCTCCTTGACGATGCTCAGGGGGACATCGTCATCGCCATCCACGTCCAAGGTGGCCGGATCGGGCTTGGGACCGTCCATCACCCATCTCTTGAGCTCATACTTGGTGCGGATGAAGTTCTCGATCTTGGCTTCGGAGGGAACGTGGCCTGGTGCGAGCTTAGATTCCCAGTACTTGTTGGCGCGCGCATTTCCCCAGCTCAGGATACTTTGGAGCTGCTCGTCGGTCCACGAATCGAGGTCGACAGATTTGACACGGCTGATGTGAGTTCCCATGCCTCGGTGAATGCCCGAGCATCGGATGCAGATGAAGACGCCGAGATTCCAACTAGCCCAGCGAGGGTCTGCGAGGAGCATTCGAGTCAGAGATGTGCTAGGACGAAGAAGATGGGAATCGGGGCATTGCCGGCTTACGCTTGTTTCTTTTGCAGTCGGCGCAGACCTTGTTTGGTTCCAATTTCAGGAGATTCTTGATCGTCTGCTGGTTTTGGGCCGCGCGCTGGGCGGCAGGGTTGGGCGGTCTCCGTGACATTGTTGCTATGGTTCAAGCCCAGTCAGCTGTGGCGTACTCAATGGGGGGGTGGTCGATGGAAAAGACGTGACGAATGCGTTATACGTATCGGTTGGGGCGCGAAACTGGTTTTGATGATTATGGAAGTAGCGTAAGGAGTGTCTTACGGCCAGCGTGTAGCTCGAAGGAAGTCGAGATTCGGGTGCCTGGAAAGTGAAATAACTACGAATTACAGAGTAACAATTTGATTACAATGCCAACTGCTCAGACGACGTGTTGCCTGAAAACGAGCGGGGTCCACCTTTCGGGGGTTCAGATTGGGAGCAGGTACCTTGTACAAAGTATTTATACCTACCTTACCTAGGTACCTTACCTTACCTAGGTACCTTACATTACCTAAGGTACCTTAGGTAATTATCGGAGCTACGGTGGAAGAAACGTGTGGAAGGGGTTTTACTGCTTAAGATGGTTTAGCGTGAGTGGGTCGACAGCCGATGCGACTGCGGGGATCGGTACCTACGAAGTACGGATACACATCTCCGTGCGAGTATGAGCTGCCATCTTAACATCTTCCCAAACCTGCGACTCTGTAAGAGGTCACCTTACGCAGAGACGATCTCGTGACAAATCTTCAAATATTCTACATCATGCTACTCAGTTTCTAAGTGGAAATAGCCAGGTAGGTACGTCTATACAGAGATCTACTTAATTTCTACCTAATTATATTCACGAGCACAAATATTCCAATGTTAAACCTAAGTTGTCAATGGATGCGGGACTTGGTTGTCCAAGGGTGTCTGAAAAGAACAAGACAGTACGAGTACTTCTTACGTAGGTACGGACGCTAACAAAGTACTGTGTACATTCCACAAAGTATTGTTACCCATGTCCAGTCCATGCGCATCATCATCGAAGAACCGCTACTAATAACCATAAATCGTCGACTCGATTTCGACGTCACTTCGCAGCTGGTTCTGGGTCTCCTTTCAATAAGTGGTTGCAGTTCATTCGTATTCAATCCCAATTCGAGTTGCAGTATATTATATACTACATACACATAACGGCGAGGACATATTCGTATATCTATACGTGTGGCGATGCTTAATACGCTGCAGACCTTGCAAAACACAACGCCATCTCCTTTCTGAGAATAAGGTCCTTTTCTCTCATGCGACTCTCACCATTACTCTCGACTGTCCTCCACACGATCTTTAGGTTTGCGCGAGCTGGGACGCCCGCAATCCGGCCACCAAAGTCCTACCCACTCATATATCGTGGCTCCCTTCAAGCTTCCATGCCTATCCCCCTTCTGAGTTCCCTCTTTGGAACGTCTAACTCAGCCTCCAACAAGATGAGTTACCCGGACCAGAGAACCAACGACGAGTGGCGTGCGGTTCTTAACAAAGGTGAGACCCCTTTTTTTCTTCATTTTCTCTCTCTCTCTCTCTCTCTTTTTGTTGCTTCACTCCACAAGCCAGAGGCAAACGGAGTGTCGAACAATTGCACGGAGATACGGAGAAGTTAGACGTGCTTGATGTTGACACGAATTTGTCAGAACAATTCCGCATCCTCCGTGAGAAAGGGACAGAGCCCCCGGGGTCCGGAACGTACGACAAACACTACCCATCTGAAGGTGTATATGGGTGCGCCGGCTGCGGTGCTCCCCTCTACAAGGCCAACCACAAGTTCAAATCTGGCTGCGGCTGGCCTGCCTACTACGACAGCATCCCAGGTGCTGTTACCCGCCACGAAGACCGTTCCTTTGGCATCTCTCGCACGGAGATTGTCTGTTCGAACTGCGGCGGCCACTTGGGCCACGTATTTAAAGGGGAGGGCTTCGACACGCCCACTGATGAGCGGCACTGTGTTAATAGCGTCAGCTTGACCTTCTCCCCGCAGGATAAAAGGTCGACGGGTGAGGGAGACGGAAAGGGTAAGGAGAGCAAGGCTTGACCTTGTAGGGGGTTCCCAGACAAATGACATGGACGAAGTGATGTAGTTTGTTTCCACCATACTGGGATTTATGTTTCCCTACTTACACAGCATACCAAGGACCTCGTGGGCTCTGTGTTCACTTATTTGCCTCGACGAACTTTATTCAACCTTCTATTTCTTTTCGAAGCCGTACCATTAGCAGAAACCTCTCGTACCAGACCTCGTCATGGCTCCTTTCAAGTATCCCATTCCGAGGAAATCTTCACAGAAGGCCCCAAACCTAGATGAAGCCATCCATGAAAGTTTTGACGCCACAAACTCACCAGGCCGGAAATAATTAAATACAAACTATCTCTGTAGGTGAATAGTCGTTCCCAACGCTCAGCCAGCCACAGACTCTCTCCCTTTTAGCACGATGAACAGTCTATATAACGATACCCGCCCCTTCCAGGCAACTCCCTATCCCATCCCCCCCCCCCTCTTTTCTTCTTCGTCCCTTCTTCATCCCTTCATCCCTGCATCCCTCTTACTTCTACTCTCCCAAGATGCAACTTCAGATTCTAGTGTAGTACGCTCAGTCTTATACAAGATTACCACCAGTCTTGTTCAATATCTATTTTAGGTACGCCCTTCTGTGGTTTGTAAGGTACAATTTTACATATCCTTTCACGAATATCAATGACCCAGAGCCCTTCACTACACAACAAGGGCCAGTCTAGCCCCGTCGTGGACATGTATCGCAGGCCTCTTCCAGATTTCACGCCAGGATACCAGGCACAGGCTCAACACTGCCCCAGGCCTTATTCACTCGTTTCTGCTCTCCGAGCCTCGTTATTCCGACATCGAGACAATCCCAAAGCGTCTCAGTCGAACTCAGCGCCCATCTCCACAGAACCCCAAGCTAGAGACCCAACTGCAAAACGGCCAACCCGCTCGCAGTCTCATTACTGACTGAATTTTCTAGCTGACTTTGAGGCACCGTTGGTTTCGCCTACGCCTCCGGTTACGCCTACGTCTCCTGTACAAGACCGCCCAATCCGGCTCATCCGCAAAGCCTCGGGATCCCGCAGTGCTCGTGGGAAGGCGAATGGAGCAGTTGTCGGGCAGAAGAATGATGCGGCTGTTGACACCCCTATTCACGGACGAGTGCTCAGGAGTAGGCCCCTCAAGAGGCATTGCCACGCCATGGACGCAGAGACCGACAAGAAGACGAACAGAAATGATACGCGCAAGACCAGGCGACTCAAGAAGGAGCGTAGAAAGCTTGTCGAGGAGGACAGGAACGATCAAGACCATCACGAGAAAGCTCTGAACGGCAATAGTGGGAGAAACCTGGATAGTGATTCTGATGAGGAGAGTCTTGCAGATGTTGGACGCCTGACGAGGAGTCAGATCAGACGCCGGGCACAGGAAACAATCGAGCGGGCGGTCTAGACACTGAGGAAGACGCCGTCCGGTCGTCGGATTCTCGCTGAGAATCCCATCCCCGTTGGAGCCATCGTCTGTTTTAGGAATAATGGCCGCCATGTGGTGAAGATTCGGCCTAGCGGACTGATCAAGTAGACGTTCTAGGATGAATATTTCAGGTGTGTGACCTGCTTCGATTTGTTGTCGTTGGGGAGAGTATTTGGGTATTTGGGTATGGTGAGGAGAAGAAAGCAACGGTGAGCGTTGCTAGGCTGTCGGCTCGGCATGTGCCAGGAATGTATGAATGTATGCACCAAGCGACACATCAAACGCTTTTCGAGGCAGCCAGCACTTAGTAGTTATCTCAGTCAAACCCAGCGTCAAAGCTGCCCAAGTGTCACAATATCAAACAAGATTATATAGGTAGGTATGGAGTTGTAGAGATTGAGTAGCCGCGTATAACTGTCTTACCGCCCTACCATATCAATCCATCCACAGTATCCCCCCCCCCCCATTTCTTTTTTTTCTTCTTCTCTCTTGTCTTCTCTTATTTATTTGTATTTGCATTTTTAATTTTTATTTACTACAAACACATCACGGAGAACCGATAATACATACGATAGATTACCGTGGCTAAATATTGACATTCCGTTACCGCGGGAGGCTTTTGTATCCAAGGAACAGGTAATTAGTGTTTTGTTTTCATCCTGTCTGATTTTCATGAATGCTAGCTATGCCCTATAAGGAGAAAATGCCGGATCCGCAGCCCGATTTGCTGTTTCCGAGCCGTTATGTTAACAGCATGGGAACATGGACGTCGCCCATCTAGCAAGCTGGACCAGTCAAGTCAGCCTGACGTGTCTTTAGATAGTTGCCTACCATCTTGCCAAAAGGTAGATTTAGGATGGCAGGGCCGTGGTTGTCTAAATTTTCCTGCGCCAGTCTTTCGACAGATTGCAGCATCTTTGCTGTAGATTCCCGCATGTCAAATTCATAGCCACGCTCCAGGTTGTCGAGATCGCCGTCGAGACGCTCGTGGACCAAATGCCTTGCCTCATCGATCAGCTGCAGGCCGACCACCAGTGCATGATCATCGTATTCCGAGTGGCGTGTTTTTCGGGTGGTTGTGTCCTCTATTGTCTGCAGGTCAGCATTTGACGTAGGCGTGTCTGTTTGCGACGAGATATGGATTCCTGGTTTCTTGATAGAGCAGTATATCGCAGCATCCTTGGTTATTGAAATGGTCTGCGTGGCAATATCATGCTTCCTGAGATGAACTACGCAATGCTCGTCCGCTTGGGTGGCGTCAGCCACATGTGCGGCATGGTCTTGACAAGGCAGATCTGCATTGAACAAGTTGACGGTATGTTCCATGTCCATGATCGCCTGGGTCCCGCAGTCGAGTTCGCAATCTTGAATGTTACAAGAGACACCGAAGTCTCGAGACTTGGTATCTTGCTGAGGTTTTGGCGAGCGCGACACGCTGGTTGAACCACCCGAGTTTATTGCGTCAGGAGAGTCCAACCTTGACCCCGACGCTGCTCTGCTGCCCTGAGCCGCTATGCCCCTCGTCTTCAAAATTCCAGCATCTCCTAGGCTTTGCTTTCTCGATACCAAAGCAGTTTTGGCAGCATTTTTTCGGGGGCGAAGACGCGAGAGATCCTTCCAGTTATCCTTCACCTCATCGGGCACTGGCCCATACGCTGTGATTCTTGACTCGAGTTCCCGAAGCTGATTTTGGACTTTAGCTCCTCCAGGAGAGCCGGTTCGTTTTTGACGTTTCTTGTTATGGGGTGCACTTTCTTTGTTTTTCCTATCGTCGGATCGGACGGCACCGTTTGAGTCCAAGAAGGATTGTTCTATGATGATTCCAGGTTCATTTTTTCGCGACCACTCCCGACTTTCAGTATCCGCTTTTCTCGTGGTTTCAAGTTCTGTTGCTGCAAGTTGTGGACAAGCTGGGTGTGCTGCTGAAGTCGGACCTGCCTCTCTCATATTGAATGCTGATACTTCTGTACGCATTCCGTCATGCCGATGGACGCCTACATCTCGACTTGTTGACAATCGTCTTTCCATGAACGGAGCCGAAGTGGGATTGTGGGTCGGAGGGGATAGAATAGGTTGTTGATTTAGGTTCTCCATGGTTACCACTGCGCTAGCCAGACCGGAACGACCAACTTCGTCCTCAGGGGTCGCGTGCAAGCCGGGTCTCTTCTTGGGAGAGTGCTGGAATGGGAGCTTCCTGGGAGGAGGCAACATAGCTCGCATGTTTGTCAGGGAACTGGGCCGGGGGATGGGCGATCTGCACAAAGGAGCCTCCGACGTCGTCAAAGGCTTGTCAACAGACCAATATTTCCTGGAAAAGTGACCGCCTGGCAGACCATCAGGAGAGTGAAGACTTCCCGGCATCGACTTGTGTGGAGGCCCTGGGTGCACAGGGCTTGAGTTTACTGCCCGAACGGAGGCCTGATGGGACATTTGTTGCTGGGGCCCGAATGGCGCCTCTCCAACCTTCCTGCTCAGAGGACTGGGGCCACGAGAAGAAGCATATTGGCCCGTGAGTAAACTGAGTGATTCTGGAGTCGATATCAGCGGGGATAGAGATGCGTGATCAGTTGAATATCCCAATGGAGATGAAGAAGAGGCAAACGGGGAGGTCAATGAGGTGCTGTTCTGGTAAGGGGACGTCTGGATGTGGTGTCGATGATGTGGCATTGGGGATGTCCGAAAACTCGCGTCTGAAGGAAGGGGAATCGAGAAATCTGTATGCCGTGAGAAAGGTCGCGAAAACGATGGAGGAGTTGTAGCATAAAACCGCGATGAAGAGTGCTTGGATCGACGGACCCAAAGTCCCATCTCCTCGAAAAGCCGCATAGTCTGTATAAAGTCGACCTGCCTCAGGAATTCGGCTCGTATCTCGCGAATGTCTCCCTACGTTTGTTGGTATATCAGCATGCGAATGGCTGGGTGGCCAGTCCTTGAGAAATGTACCCGGGAAAGCTCATATCTCAGGCGGAATGTCTTTTCTGCCTCGCGCTGAGAAATTTCGTACATGAACTGCCGGCAACTAGATGGCGTCAACTTCCCCAGGCAAAGCGTCTCCTGTCACGTCAGGTCATCAGTCAACATCTCCATGGCGGATGGCAACCCATTTACCAATTGATGGGGCCCACTACGGAGGACAAGAATAAAGTCAGACGTCGCTGCAATCCCATTTCCTAGCTGGTGAGCTTCGTGTAGAGTCTGTACATCTGATTCGAGAGTCAGAGTCACGTCGGTGGTATGAGTTCTTCGATGTTGCTCTTGCGATAGCGAATGAAGGAGTCCGACTGAAACTCTGGTCAATGGAAAAGTGTATGTCTGGGGGTTACTGGCCCCGAATCGCGACATCATAATGAGACGATAAGATAACGACCAAGATGTCGCCTTTGAAACCAAAGGAAAGGGGCCAGCTACGAGATGTGACCAGAGACGAGGCGATCGTCGCGATACAAGGTACGATTCGGGCAAGGGAATCGATATCGTAGTATGCTGCAGAAAGATCGATATCCACCGTCGGTCATAGTTCCAGTTATATGTCTAGAGACACTTAAGAAGTTGATAAAACACTAGAAGAGGCGCCAAGCTGGGACCATCGACAAGACTCGGTTCATGATGTCGAAGGCAAGGCAATCAACCCATCGTAGTGTTAAATCCCCGGTGAAAGAAGTATTATTATAATAATGGCTGTCAGAAACGGAAACCCCTCGAGAATTGGAACCTTGGAAAGAGCCGACCAGCACGATAAGCACGATAAGCACGATAAGCACGATAAGCACGATAAGCACGATAAACACGATATGAACGATAACAAAGATAAACATTTTGTGCACGTGGAGATAAGACAGGAAGCAGGTACGTACCTTGTTTATACGCATGGCGTCAAGCACTTTTCGTACTAGGTACTACGTACCTAGTACCTTAAGGTAGGTGCCTGTTGAGTTCCTTCGCGGTTCGTGGCACGACCAGTTTTCAAGGGTGACTGCTAATAGGATCTTCCGTCATCAAACAACAAGTCCCAATCGCATCTCCACGACTTTTTGTGTGGGCGGATAGCAGTGCAGTGAGGCTCACAAATCAACTGCGCAATCGCGCGCCCGACAGCCCTTGCTGCATTCGCTCAGTCTATTCAGCTGTGGTATAGCAAGGTTTGTGTGTGTATGGTCTGTTACCACCATAATTCTTCGCGTCTTCCCATGGCCAACAACAAGCATCCCCACTTCCGTACACTCTTTCCCCCCCGTTAGCTGCCCAATCTCAAGGGTAGGCTGTGCTGACTGCTTGGTATAGATATTATAGTGGACTGATACTCGCCGCGCCCTCTTGCGCGCCGATCTGCAAAGATGACAATGGAATCGGAGGGCCCCATACACACGATCGACCGCACTCCCGAATATGAGGAGTTCATGGCTCGGCTTAAAGCCTACCATGCACAACGCGGCACCACTTTGGACCCTGAACCCAAGGTCTCTAACGTGAATTTGGATCTTTACAAGACGTTCAATCTTATTGTGGCGAACGGTGGATATGATAAAGTAACGGAAGAGAAGTTGCTTTGGCGTAAGATGCGGGAGAAGCTGGGAATTCCTACAACCAACGAACCATCCACAGCCTACCAGCTAAAAGAGAAATACTATAAGAACCTGGCGGCGTTTGAAATCAGTACTGTTCATGGGAAGGAACCGCCTCCCAAAGATATCCTGGAGGATGTCACGGCAAAGGGCGGGTCTCTGTTGACCCGCACTCGGGAGAACTTCCGTGGGGGAAAACACGAGAGCTCCATGGCTGGCGACTCGGCTGCCTCTGGGGACGATGCGACTGCTACCCCTTCACGAGACCGCACCGCTCCTGAAACCACACCTACTAGCGCTAGTCTGCGTGCCTCACGAGGCCTCAGAGAGGCACCCCCCCAGCGAGTGATCTTTCAACCCGACACAGCTCCGGCCCGCTCGTCGCGTCACTCTTCGGCCACGCAGGCAGCCTCACATCTTATCAATAGCAGCCAGGATCGACCCAGTGCAACTCCACAGAATGTCAATGGCCAGCCGAGCAACTCGCCTGTTCATTACCCAGCCCACAACCAAACCCCTGGCCAGTTGGCTCACACACCGGTCCCGTTCTCTGCACACGGGCGTGTTCAACGTGGGCCCAGTGACAGCTTCACCCCCCAGGACAGAGAGTACGTTTCGTCGGCTGTGGATTCGTACCAGCCTGCTTCCTTTCAGCCCATGCATGGAATTCCATTGCGTCCTGTCGACACGCCAAGCAATAACCCCATTGCGTTTGCTCGACGCCGACATGCGGCGCCGCAGCCACAGCCTCTCAAAGGCCCCCGATTCCCCCCTGGTAAGTTACTTTTTCCTTTTGTTAAAGTGGTTGTGTCAAGGCTTACGATAGATAGGTGTGAACATGCCCCCCAGCATTTACATCCGCTGTGTGAATGGCTTGCTGTCCGGCATACCCAGCGAACAAGCGTTCGCGCTCAACCATTTGGTCAGAATCTCGTTTGAGCGAGGAGACAAATTTCGGTTTGAGCAGTTCGGCGATCTTGCCCGTGGACTCGTTGAAAAGGTCTTGGAAGTGAGCAGCCTCTTTTACGAAGTCAAGTGGAATGTTGATTCGTTACCGCCCTGGTGCAACGCGCCTGGTCCCAACACCCTTTCCATCGATGGAACTCCCGACATCCTCGAGCGCATTGACTCTCTGAAGCCGAAGCATCGTATCGATTCGGTACATCCTGCGGACTTTGCAGACCAACTACAGCTCATCAACGAAGCCGCCCTTACACTCCGCAATATGGTCCTCTTGGCCGATAACGCTTATTTTCTCTCTATCAAGGCGCTTGTCGTGAAAGATGCCATTTGCATCGCTCTCAAGCTTCCGCCTCAAGATTCTGTCATTGAACTGAAACATCTAATGGTCGAGGTTGCCGAGGCTATCACACCATACCTGGAGCTCGAGTCTAGCGATCCTCTTTACAAGGTCCTCATGGACTGCGTCGACTCAGACGACCTCGGTATGGTTCTCGGCTGCCTGCGTGCGCTTACCCGGATCTCTATTTACTCCGAAGAGACCAACAAATTGGAGAACGTTCCAGCGAGTGTCCTTCGGAGAGTTTGCACCTGGCTGCTCGTGGACGACAATGAGCTGAAAGATGCCTGCCTCGACTTTCTCTATCAGTACACCGCTGTCGTTTCTAATGTTGATAGCCTCCTTAGCTCGATTGAGTGCCAGCACCTGGTTACTCACCTTGTACGCCTCCTTTCGCATGGCGCCAAGCAGGTCCAGCGTCAGATCATCATGACCCCGGAACTAAAGGTCGCCCCTCCCGAGTTGCCTTGTCCCATGCCGCCCGATCTACTCCAAGATCTCTTGAAGTTGAACGAGCCTGAGCGATGTCAGGCATGGGTCAGGTGCTTCTTCGAGGAGGACAAAGATTCCTTCGTCACTCAGATCACAGCCTGGCAGGCGTATCAGAACGCCTTCACCGCGGCCCTAAAAACAATTGGGCAGTTCCTGATCACGCCCGCCGACTTTATTCGCAACAGTACGACTGTCTACAAGGAGTCCAAGGCTGAGGTTCTGACGACGGATGGCCCTGGCGAGCAGCCGCAGCAGAAATTCATTATTCAGGGGATCCGCGCACGTCGGCTGCCCATCGGCCTTGATGGCAAAGAATACCGCCGCTGCCTCTGGGATTCCGAGAGACCCGGGGAGAAGTGCGGTCTCTTCTTCCACAATACAGACGACATGGCGACCCATGTGACGATGGCCCATCTAGGTATCACCAAGAACAGCGATGGTCTTTTCCCGAACGTGACAAAGCCATTCGCGTGTCTTTGGGCGGATTGCACCACATTTAGCTCGCCCGTCGCACAGGAGTTCGGCGTCTTTGCCCGTCATCTCGCAACCCATGCCGCGTGCCTCTTCCCCCATAACGTGGGAAAGGCACTCTCCGGCAGTTCGCGGCCGAACTGGGTCCAGCCCGCGAAACTCTTGACTCTGACCTACTTGGAAACACCGACAGCCCCAGATGAGAGGAACCCTTCGGCGCCTCCCCGCCCGGGGGGCATTCCCCTCAGTGCAGCTCTCATTCTGCGCAACATTGCGCGGAACGTTCCCAAGACGCAGGCGGAGGAGGCTCTTTTGAACCAGGGCCAGTCGGGCGGCTGGAACGAACGGTTGTTCCTCGCCGTGCGTCCGCATCTGTTCTACCTCCTCGCCCATAACCAGCCTCTAGTAAGATTCCTACCTAACCTCTATGTTGTTTTGCAAGGCATACTGACAGCCCTCCCTCTGTAGGGCGAATATATTTCCTCAATTCTGGACCTGATTGAGCCGAGGCAGGACGAACAGGTGTCTCTGGATAACGTGTAGAGCATTCATCCCGTTGAAACTCATCGAAGCAGACCCTCGCTTCTGCGGCTTCGGGGCTCGTTACTATGTGTCCCTGGCTTGCCGAGCTGATTCTCATTGCGTAAGACACTGTATTGTATAAAAAACGGACAAGGAGTTGGAACAGAAGGAGCCAAATTAGGTCGGTAATACCCTGGCGTTACGGAACTGGAAGGATTTGGAGTCACCTTCGGATATGAGGAGGGCATGGAGGAAGGGGGAATAGAGAATATCCAGACATTCTAAGTGTTATCGGTACGGAGTTGGGTTCAACGATTCTGCTGAACCATGCAAGGGAATCTTGAGTCTCTGTCTTCATCAAAGGAAACGTGTTGCAGTTACTTCAGCCTGGTCAATTGGGCCAACGCAAAGAAGAATGGCTTGCTTCGCCAATGGTGTTCGTGAAGCCGGGTGCATTTTATTACAAATGCAGGACTTTGTAAATACAACCGCATGTGAGGATGTCTCGGGATTTGGTGTTGCGTGCAAATACTCCGTCCCTACCGACTAGGTCGGGTTCTATTTCATATATTTCCTGAACGGCTGGAACCATGTCATCAAAGAAACGAGTAATAAGACAAGATAGTGAAGAGACTACAGATAAACTGATATTGAAGACCGTGGCTAAGCTAAGGGTAGGTGTGGGTCCGAGTAGGGCGAAAAGGTAAGCTAAGGGTTACTATGGGTCTGCTTTCTGATTAGTCACCCTAGGGAAACGTCGTCTCTCCTAGCTTTACGAGTCGTGTCGTAACACGTTAACGTGTTTTTCCTCCTTTGTTCCTAATACGCCTAATTAATTAGTTAAACTATTTCGCGATTATATTAAATATATTATAAGGAGTATTTCTATTAAGGGTTATTATTATTATTATTATCGATCTTACTCCGCTATCCTAACTAATCTATAGGAGCCTTTCTAGACTATATAGTCCTTCTCGGGTGGCTATAGAGGGGAAAACCCGGGTAAACCCCGGGGAAAACCCCTATACACTTCCTTAGGTGGAGTAGTGCCGCTACGGGGCCGATATAGCCCCGATTCGTCTCTGCTATATATCTGGATTATACCTCTAGGCTAATAGCTAACGGGAAGTATAGTAGGCTAGTGGTTCGGTAGGTTAGCCTAAGCTAATCGTTAGCGACGGAGTAAGGGCTAAGGGGGTACCGCCACGCCTCCGTGGTACGGAGGCCACGGCCCTTTAGTCTTAGCCTCCCTACGTCCCCGAGGATCGTGCCCTTTATTCCTTTTACTCGGTTAATAAAAAGAGTAGGGAAGGTAGGCGCCTCCTACCTCCCCTAGGTAGGTTCCTGCTATATCCGGCGGCAGGTAGGGGGGGTAAGGCTCTACCCTATTATAAGAATTAGATAGTTAATATCCCCTAAGGCCTTCGTGCCTTAATCCTCCCTCTTCCTCCTATAACGCTAACGCTTTCGTTATAGGTTTCCTCCCGATCTATTCCCGCTTACGGTCCCATAGGTTTACCGTTACGGTTTATACTAATTAGTAAACCCCTTTAGGATTCTTATTATTTTCCCACTATAGTTTACTATAAGTGCCTTACGGGTAACGTCGCGGTAGCGTAGTAGTATAGGGTTAACTGGGTAGTATAGTAATAATCTATATATATATATATATAAGTAATTAATAGTAGTAGCTTAATATAAGTTCCCTTTATAGCGTAGTAGTGCCTCTACGGTAGCGTGCTAATAGTCGTAGATATCTTCTCCTAATAATAACGCTAATACTAATAATAATCGTAATCGTTATAAAAAGGGCTTAGTCTGAGTTATACCGTATATAACCCCGGGGGGGGTAAGGCGGTGCCGTAGTAGCTGATTTAGGGTAGTTATATTCATTATAGTAAGCGCTTAGGTATATACCTAGATAACGTGGAGGCCTATTCTAATACTATAGGAACTAATATAGCCTATTTTTAGTATACTAATAGCCGGCATCTATATAAGGATATAAGTCGTGCTAGTACCGCTATAATACCGCGGGTATACCGTAATAGTGTATCCTAATCGTCTTAATAAATCCCCTCCATAGCTAAATAACAGTAATAGCGTCTTATAGATCTCTATAACGTATATATAACGGTAAAGGCCGCTAATAGTAATAGTATCGCTATTATAAGTATCCCCCTTCGGTGCCGTGGTAATCCCCTACTAATAAGTTTCTAGGCTAAGGAGCGCTTAGGGACGGCGTCCCGGTCTTTTAGCCGGGCCCTAAACCGGGCGTTACCTTCCGGCCGCGGCCGCGGCGGCACCGCGTTAGCGGAGTTATAGGAGTTATCTCGCTAGATAAGGCGTTTAGAGGGTAAGATAGACCTAATTTTAGAATACTTTATAGGTGGCCTCCTTTCGGCCCCGTTACGGCCCTTAGCGGTAGTGATTAGCTAATTAGTCTATATAGGACCTTAAGTACGTTAAGAGTAGTATTAGCGCCTCTAAAGGCGATAAAGATAAGGATAACTAATAGCGCCCCGTTAGTGCTAAGCTAATATCGCCGGGGTCCCGGCTTATAGGACCCCTATTAATAATCCACTAGTTCGCTATACTATTCCGTCTCCGCTACGGTCTCGCTTCGGTGTTATCTCTATTTTCGTAGGCCTCCGTGACTTTAAGGGTAAGGCGAAAGTCCTTAAGCCTCTTCCGTTATAGGAACCACTTAGCTATTATTCCGGCTTCTGTGTCGTGGTCTAATACGTTATATAGATCTCCTTTAGTCGTGAGTAGTCTCCCCGCGGCGCTAAAGAGCTTTTTACGCTTTTCCTCGGCCACGTCCTAGTATTAGAATATTATATACTCCGCTATTTCTGCCCCCCCGTTACCGTAGGGGCACCTTATTATCGGGAATCCCGGCACCCTTACTCTTACTAAGAAGGCTTATAGGCCTAGCTTTTCTAATCTAATTTAGGTAAGTGCGGTACTCTATAGTTTTAGGAGTCCTTTATATTTCCGGAGGGAGTATTATATCGGGGGGCGGCTTAGTGCCGCTACGGCGTAGGTATAGGGTCCCCGTGCCTCCGCCTAGGTTTAACCCTATTCCCTTATAAGGGCTTTCCGCGGGGCCGTATTTCTAGCCTAGGTTATTAGGGCGTTTAGTTAGGCTATCTACGCGAGGGCTATATAGGTCCTATAATGCCGATTCGGTGCCGCTAGAGCTCTCGCTACGGCGTATACTCCGGCTAATATCTTATCTTCGGTTCCCTCCTCTTATATCCGGCGGACTTTCCGGGCGCTTAGGCTTAAAAGGTATAGGTTAAGGGGGGGGATAAAGGTCTTTTTTTTAAGGACCCTAACCGGCGTGGCTTTATAGGCTCCGGCTATTAACCGGAGGCACCGATTCTATACCGTTATAAGTGCCGCTACGGGGCCGTGCCGGGGGCCGGCCCTTATCTTATAGACGGTTAAGGCGTAATAGGCGATTATTAGCCGTATTACTGTAAGGTATAGTCTTCTTATATCTACGAAGCTATACCCCTACGCTACCGCGCTAAGCCTTAAGAGGGCGTATATTTAGGTAGCTAGTCGGCTTTTAACCTTTTTAGTGTTTTATCGGAAGTCGAGCTTCGTATTAAGCTAGACGCCTAGGAGCCTTATCGCCTCTACCGCCGGCACCGGAGTAACGCCAAGGGGGAGCGGGGTAAATAAGGGTTAGCGTGACTTCGTAAAAGGGATATAGATATACTTAGCTAGTTCGAACTATAGACCGCTCGCGATCTCTTAGTCTAGGTATATTCTCTACGCGGCGGCGAGGCATTACCGCGTCTATACCTCCGTCTTACTAAAGGCGATAATATTCGTGTTATCGGTAAAGCCTGTTACTATTATTTTAGGGACCCTTTCTAGCTTTTTATATAGGGTAAAGATATAGAGGATAAAAAGGATAAAGGAGATCGGGGAGCCTTACGGTATACCCCCGCGGAGGTGCCGCGGGGGGGCTATTTCGCTATTAAGTAGTAGTTAGGCTATATAGTCCCGGAGGAAGCTACTAATTAGGGTATTAAGCTACTGGGGGTAGCCTTTCCTTTTAAGCACCTCGATAAGGCGGGAATAGGGGATAGTATCGAAGGCGCCTTTAATATCTAGTTAGAGTATCGAAGCGGTGCCGTTATAGGCCTAGCTCGCCTTTACGGTTTCCGTGGCTTTTTATACTACTATCTTTATACTTCGCCCTATCCGGTTATCTATCTATCCCTCTAGGAGGAGCCGATACTCCTCCGCTATAATCGTGATCCGGTCGGCTAATATCCCCTTAAGGACTTTACCTATTATACTAAGGAGTAATATCGGTTATTAGCCCTTTACTATCCCGTAATCGGCCGGCGGCCGGCCTTCCTCTTAAGGACTACCACGGTAGCGTGGCGGTACCTTTTCGGGTAATAGCTCGCTTTAAGGCACGCTATAAAGATAGCACTAAGTCTTTAGTATAGGGGGGGTCCGTATACTTTTAGGAGGCCCGCTAAGAGTCCGTTAGGACCTAGTACCGCCTAGGGTTTTATCTTCTTAAGGCGCCCCTATACGTCCGCTACGGTAACGTCTCGGCGGATATCCTATCCCGGGGGGGATTCCGCGCTTAGGGGCCTAGGGGCGGTAGGGAGGGGGGGGGGAAAGAACTTCCGATTTAGGACCTCGGCCTTCTCTACGTATATAGTTACCGGGTAATCGCTATCGTCTTAGCGTAGCAGTAGCATTAACGGGGGGTCCGGTAATACGCCCCCTTTAGTTTATACCTATTTTTATAGCTGCTAGAGAAGGCTATTATCCTTCCCGGTTAAATAGAGTAGGTGCTATTAGTATATCCGCTTCGCTACCGCTATAGCCTTATCTTAGCGCCTCTCCGCTTCCTAGAACTTATCTTATCGGTTCCGGGATTTCCTAGATATATATCTACGGTAGAGGCG